TATAAAATATAACTAAATACTTTAAAAAACTCTATTAAGTAAAGAAAAACCTTAAGGAATATTAATAAAAAGTAATAAAATAATAAGTAAAAAGCTATAATAAGTATTATAATTTTATTATTCTTTTAATTAAATCTTTAGTCTTTTTATTAATTTAAAACTTATAATTTAAGGTAATATAATATAAATTAGCTTTAAAATATATTAATCTTTTTAAAATATTTAACTATATAGAAAAATAAGTTTATGATTTAGCTTTATTTTAATAATACTTATAGTTATATAATATTTTCTATATAAACTTTTTAAAATTATATTATAATAATTAAGGTAATAAACCCCTATTTATATTAAATTTGAAAGAGAGTAAAAATAAATAGAAACTTAAAAACTATTTCCCTTTATTTAAATTAAGTAATTTCTTAATAAAGCTAAAGATTATAAATAATAAAAAATAAATAAAAATATAGCTTAATTTAAAATCTTAATTAAGAGTTAAATTAAGTTTATAATAATAAGTTAAATTATATTTAGTTAAGGCTTTTTTACTAGGTATATATAGTATAGGGTATTATACTGTTTTATAGGTTATTTATACTAAGTATTTACTTATTAGGTTGATTTATATAACTAAGGCTATATCTAGCTTTAGCTTAAGTATATAGAACCTCAATTATATAAATAAGTTAAATTATAAAAATAAATTAAAACTTTAAGGTTTTATTTTATATTTAAAAGTAAAATATAAAATAAATTAAAAGCTTTATTATAAGCCTTTTTTAATAGAATTTTAAACTATAAAGTTAATATTAATTATAAAAAAATAAATAGAAATAAAGTTTTAAGCTATTTAATTATATTAATATTATTAGAGAATTATTATTTTATTTTAAGACTTATAGTATTATTAAGATTATATTTAAATCTATAATAAGAGAGTAATATTTAACTAAAAATCTAATATTAAGTATTAATAATTTATTTATGATTACTTTTAATCTTTTAGTAAAAAGTTAATAAATTATTAAAAAAGAAGTTAAATATATTTAAATATATTTAGTTAAAAACTTTAGCTCTATTTAAATTTTAATATTAATAATAAATAGCTTTAAAGGCTTTAAAATCCTTTAGAAAACTAATTAAAATCTCTATAAGCTTCTATTAAAAGTTATTTTAATTAAAAAGAGTTATATAAAAAAGAAGTATATTAAAAATAATAAAAAAAGTAATTATATTATTAAAGGTATTAAATATTAAATTAAAGACCTATATAAAATATTAATAAATCTAAATTAAAAACTAAAAGAATTAAAAATAAACCTATTATAATATAAATATTATTATATTTAATATATTAATTATAATAAAATAAATTAAATATATTATATTAATAAAATAAATAAAAATAACTTTAAGTTTAATTTTATTTAAGCTAATAAAGTCTCTTAAAAGATAGATATATAATATAAAGTAAAAGTAATATATATAAAAGTAAAAAATACTTTATAACTTAAGATCTATATTAAAAATTAAAAAGAAAAAATATTTTAACTCTTTATTATCTTTATTATTATTATTCTCTCTCTATTTATTATTTTTATTATTACTATTAGAGTAATAAGAGAGAGAAAGAGAAAAAAGAAAAAGAGGAGAAAAAAAAGAGAGAAAAGCTAAATTATTACTAATTATAGCTTAAAGTATTTATATTTTATTATTTATTCCCTTTATTATTAATATTAAAAAGATTATTATAAATAGCCTCTTAATTAATATTAAGAAAAAGCTAATAGCTTTTAAGAAGAGCTTATTTATAGTAATAAGGTTTTTAAGCCTTAAAGACTTAGAGATAGAAGTCTTTACTCTTATAAATAATAATAAATTATTCACTATATACCTTTAAATTACTTTAATATTTAAAAGAATAGCTAGCTTTTAGTATTTTAATATTTATAAAGAGATTAAAAATAAAAAAATAAAAAATAATAATAATAATAATATAAAGCTAAACTAAAAGATTATAATAACTAAGTTAAAAAAAAGAGTAAATAATAAATTTTTTATATAAATAAAAATATAAATAAAATAAAAGCTTAAAGTTATTTAAAATAAATAACTTAATAGAGAAATAGTTATTTTAAAATAATAAATAATATTATTTATATATTTATATATTATCTTAAGGAGTAGAGCTATATTTAGCTACTTAAATTTATACTACTTATTAAGGATTTTTAACTAAAGAGGTTAAGAGTTAGCTTTAAATAATATTAGATTTTTAAAAATTAAGTATTAAGTTATTTCTAACTATAATATAATAATATAATAAGATAAATAAATAAAAAGTAAATTTTCTATTTATTTCTATAAGGGTTTTAAGTTTTTATTTATTATAATAATAATTTATTTTTATAAAAGGTAAGCTATATATAACTATATATATCTTAAGGAGGTATATAAAAATAAGAAGAAGAAATAATAATAATAATAATTTATTTTAATCTCTATTAAATATAATAATAGAAATAACTATATATATCTTTATATAAAAATATTCTATAAAAAGAGCTCTATAAAATAAAGATAGTAGAAATATAGACTACTATATAATTAATACTCTAGAACGCTATATATATATAATAATATATTTTAGAAATATTTATTTTTTCCCCTTACTTCTTTAGAGTAGATTTAGATCTTATAGAATATAATAATAGTTTAATATTCTTCTATATTACTCTTAATATATTATTCTATTAAAATTAATACTTATTTATACTTAAATTTATTAAATTCTATTATAATATATATTAGCCTATTATATTATATTATATTAGCGCTTTTTAAGCCTCTCTAGCTACTTATATACCTATTCTTATAATAAATTATATAGCTAAATAGCTATTAATTAGTTAGTAAGCTAAATTAAACCTAAAGTAAGTTAAATATATAGTTTAAATTATAATATAGTACTTAAAGGTATAAGTTATATATATAAATAGCTTTAAATTACTTATATAGACTAAATTAAAGCCTTTAGCTACTATATTATATTTAGAAACTATATATTTAACTAACTTTAGGTTTAGCCTAGCTAACTTAACTAATTAATAGCAATTTAGTTATATAACTATATATAAGCTATTTCTATTTTAGCTATTATTTTATTACTTTATACTTTAATTTCCCCTATTATAATAATAATAATAAACTTTTTTATTAAAATCTCTCTAATACTTTAAAAGATATCTTTAAAACTTTTACTATTTACTAATTAATTAACTTTTTTAACTATATAGCCTTTAAGCTAACATATTATTATTAAACTTTTTAAAAGACTTTTAGCTTACCTTTAGTATTTAAGACTATTATAGTTTTATTACTTATTATTAATAATACTATTAATATATTATAATTTAGATCTATAAGATTTATAGATTATTAGCTTTAAGCTATTTAATTAGTTTTAAAAAGCCTATAAGGAGCTTATATATAATAATAATAATATCTATTACTATATCTACTCTATTTAGATTTTAATCTTTAGTAATAATAATATTATTATTATTATTATAAAGATCTTAAATATATATAATATAGCTCTTTATAATATAATTAGAATTAATAGCTTATTTTAAATATATTAAAGTAAATTAAATAACTTTAAGCTAATAAGTATAATTTAGCTTTTTAAACTTAAAGCTTTTAATAATATAAATCTTTATATTAATAATTATCTTATTAAGTTAGTATTACTATAGCTTATAATATAAGCTATATTTAAGCTATTTAAATATATTAAAAAATATAAAAGATATATTAAAAAATTTAAATATAATAATAAAAAAGGATTATAAAAAGATAAAAAATAAGCTTTTAGCTTAAAATAGTAGCCAGCTTTATAAGTCTATTTAATAATATAATAGAGATACTTTATTAGCTATTCTTTTAGCTAAAAAACTATAAAAGTTCTATAAAGAGGGACTTATAATTAGAATATTTAGTATTATTATAATAGATTTAAGTTATTATTATTATTTATTAATAATAAAGCTTATTACCCCCCTTTTTCTTATAGCTTTTATAAACTTATATATACTTAAAGACCTTAATTAAATTAAGCTTATTAGTTAATATTAATTTAATTATTATTTATATCTATTTATTATATTAAGAGATAATATAAGCTAAAGTATTAAAATTATATTAAAGAACTAAAAACCTTATATTAATAAACTATTATATAAAGCTCCCTTATAGCTAAGTAATATTTCTATCTTATAGACTAAATTAAATTTAAAGTAATCATAAAATATAATTTAAAGTATAATTAATAGAATTTATAATTAATATAGCTTATAGCTATTTTATTTTTTTTAATAAGTTAAATCTTATTTAAAATTAATTTAATATATAGTTTTAAATTATAAAATAGTAGATATAAGCTTTTCTTTAAAATCTTTTCTTAAAATTTAAAACTTTATTTAAATAGTTTTATAAAAATAAATAAAATTTCTCTATTTTTAATATTACTATTATTTATAGTATAGTTATAAAACACTCTACTTATTATTATTATTATTAAAATATTAATTAAAGCTAAAATAAAAATTTATAAGTCTTATATTATAAGCTAGAACGTAGGGGTGAGGGCGAGTTATATAAAGTAACTATATTAGCTAAAGAGAGTAGTGCGCTTCTGCGCATAGAAATATGCGTGGGATGCGCTCACGTGATGTAGAGCCACTGCACACGCCACATGCGGCGTTAGCAAGGCTGCGTAAGAGCCCACCTCGTGACATCTTAATAGTTTTGATAATAATATTTAGATATATATTTCTTAGAATTTTGTTCCTTATATTAATAGTTTATATAAGTACTATTAATTCTCTCTTTAGACCTCTATCTACTACTCTTTCATATAATACAAAGTACATACGTGTTCTATACCTAGTTTAAGACACTCTAATTCTCATTCAATCGGCTTATAATCGCTTCTTAGGTTACATGTGAATAGGCTTTGAGTAGGTAGCCATGGCAGCCTCCTTGAAAGCCTCAGCGAGGGTAGGGTGGGCGTGGCAGGTGCGGGCAATGTCCTCACTTGACGCGCCATACTCCAGCGCCAGCGTAGCCTCTGCAATCATCTCGCCGGCGTTAGGTCCGACGATGTGAACACCCAGAAGCCTGTCAGTCTCCGGGTCGGCAAGCATCTTGACCATACCCTCAGTGTCCATGTTGGTCTTGGCGCGGGAGTTCGCGCTGAAAGGGAAAGACCCGACCCGGTACGGGATGTTCTGCGACTTCAGATCCTGCTCGCTCTGGCCAACCCAAGCAACCTCAGGGTACGTGTACATGACGGAGGGGATGACACCATAGTTGACGTGACCGTAGCCCTTCTTGATGTACTCGACAACGGCAACAGCCTCCTCCTCAGCCTTGTGCGCAAGCATGGGGCCGAAGGTAGCATCACCGACGCAGCGGATATGGGGGATCTTGGTACGGTATTCGGAGTCGATGATGACGCGTCCACGCTCATCGACCTCGAGACCGATGTTCTCGAGTCCCAACCCTCCGGTGTATGGCCTGCGGCCAATGGCAACAAGCACAACCTCGGCGTCGATCTACAGAGTGAATAAGTCAGTGGATCTCACGGACACAGAGGCGTATGAACCCTTACCGTCTCAGGCTTGCCACCCTTAGCCGCATCGATATCCAGCTGGACCTTGTCACCGCTCTTGTCGCCGCTTACAACCTTTGTGCTGGTCTTGAAGTTAATGCCTTGCTTCTTGAGGATCTTTTGGGTGCTCTTGGAGATCTCTGCGTCCATTCCAGGGCCACCGATCTGGTTGAGGAACTCAACGACGGTGACCTTGCTACCCAGGCGGGACCAGACGGAAGCCATCTCGAGGCCAATGATACCACCACCAATGACAACAAGGGACTCGGGAATCTTCTCGAGGGCCAGAGCACCGGTGCTGGTGACGACGCGCTTCTCATCGATCTCCAACCCAGGGAAGGGAGTAGCCTCGCTACCAGTGGCAATCAGAATGTTCTTTCCGCGAACGGAAGTCTCGCCGCCCTCGTTCAGGTCGACCTTGATCTCGTTCTCGTTGACAAACGAGCCGGAACCCTTGATGTACTCGACGCCGTTCTTCTTGAAGAGGAACTCGACACCCTTGGTGAGCCCGCCGACGGCTGTATCCTTGGCCTTCATGAACTGCTCGAGATTCAACTTGACGTCAGCGACTTCGATACCGCGGTTCTTGGTATCGTGCTGGATGGTGTGGTAAAGGTGCGAGTTGTTGAGAAGAGCCTTAGACGGGATGCAGCCGACGTTGAGGCAAGTTCCGCCTAAGGTACCGCGTTTCTCGATGCAGGCGACCTATAGGCAAGTCAGTCCAACTGGAGCTATTGCCCATCGCCTCGCCTCCGCGGCGGGCGGACGATGACGTTTACCTTCATGCCCTCCTGACCGGCCTTGATAGCGGCTACATAGCCAGCAACACCGCCGCCAATAATGACAAGGTCCTTCTCCTCTGCGAATACGCAGCAGTTAGTTGGGGTTGGCTAGGATCGTGGACCGCGCGAAGTCGTTTCAAGGGGTGGGCTGGACGTAGGAAGCTGGACGCACCAGAGGCGGAGGCGTAGGCGCGGCTCCATCTCGAGAGTTGAGAGGGGACGACAGCAGGGAGGCTGAGAGAAGAGTGTGTTAGTGTTCATGGACCATTTGCACCAGTGGCGCCCGGCGGGAAAAGCTGGAAGGGGCGAGGAAAGTCTCACGAAGTGTGTTTCCTGAAAGCCGACCTAGCTGCGGTACGGGGTATCAAGCGACTGGACAACATGGTGGCGACGGATACGCGAGGAGGGCTCGGGGATCAATGGAAAGGAAGAAAAAAAGGAAAATCAAACCCAACGGAGGGCGAGAGGGAGAGGGAACGAAGGAGTGGGACGGGGAGGGAAAAAGCGACGGAGATTCGCACTTGGAGTGGATGGGTGGTGGATGGGTGAACAAGACGGTTGAATCGAACGAATTGACGGGAAGGGTTAATCTGCTGCTGTGTTGAGCCAGCTGCTGCTTCGGTTTGAATTGGAGCTTGCAATTTTTCGAGTTCCGCCGGGGGCGGGCACGTAAGGTACCTTGGGTAGAGTTCCTTACCCAATGTACCAACGCCAGTCGTAGGTACCCACTAATACTTTCTAGTAATTGCATGGAAGCTTATGCAATAGCGAGGCCACCCTTCTCAACGTTCCCTCCTCCTCCTCTCCTCCTCCGTCATCTTCCGTGTTGAGGCGACATTAGCCGCCGTCCGCTCCGGCTGCCCGCCCGTTGATTTGGGTTTCGAATATGATGCACCCGGACCGTGGACGAATGGGCGCGTACATCACCAGCGTGGCCATTGACTTTCGGTAGGAACGGCATGGCCGCCGGTAGCGGGACTATTCGGCTACAACGGACCTTGACCCGTGTCGGCTTCAGTCCCGTCGGCTACTTCCGGACATCGCACAATAATCAAAACCATGTCAACCACACCATGTCCATGAATTAAGCTATGAAGGCCGGCTCGGATTCACACCGCAGCCGCCGTCTCTATACTCGGACCTCGCTCAACTACAAATCAACAGCTTGGGCTGGCTTCTGTAGCATTTGCTCGGCGGCCTTGCATGCTTGCTTGACCCTTTTGGTGTCCTTCTTTCCATCTACCAGATCAGTGTCCCGTACCTTCTTTCGCAGGAAGTATGCGACGCTCCGCGCAAGCTCTGGAGCTAACCCGCCGCCGAATGGCACGCTTAGAGCTTGGTCCAAAGTCTTGTTCTTAGCTCGACTACACTCCTGGAGCACCGTGATGAGCATCACCTCTACAAACAGACCCGTCGTGTCCTTGATGTAGGCGAGGTTCAGGGCCTTGAGGAGGCCCAGACTGACCGAGCCATCCGCTGCCAAGCTCCCAATCATCTTAGCCGTGTTGATAAGTCGACGGTCGTCAGCAGCCTCTTCCTCTTCCTCCTCCGGCTCTTCCCCAAACAAGGGTTCACCGAGTCTTCGGAACAGCGTCCAGACCGTGTCCTGAAAAGCATACTTGATCCGCGAGTCGCTGCAAAACTTCCTGGCCACGAGTGTGTAGTACGGATTATAGTGCTGTTGTGCTCCGCAGCATTGGACGAGGACGTTTGGCACTTCTCGCCGGTTGTACTTGTTGAGCTTTAGCTTCAAAATCCGCATGTAGGCATCCTGGTAGTCTGCTGCGGCCACAAGGGCGATGAAGATGGCGCGCCGAATGTCAGTGTTCATGCCCTGCTCTCGCGCGAGCTGACCATAGTCGGGGGTAACGAGGTCATTGGCGTCGGAAACGACAACGCCGCCGTCCTTGTCCTCGTCAACACCTGCATTCTTGACAACGGCTTGGTGATCTTCATGTTTCGTCTTTTGAGCATCCGAACCTGCCCAGCTAGCGCCGACAAGCCACCACTTGCCAGTCTTGTCGGCGTTCTCGATATCCCTCAGCCCGATTCGGAGAGGCTCCGTTGCCTTCAGCTTCTGTGTGTCGAGTGAACCCAGCGCTTTCTTCATTCGCGTTACATGCTCGTTCAAGATGACCAAGTCCTGTGCGCCGGCCTTCAGCTTATTGTTCTTCAAGTCGCTAATAGTTTCGATCATGAACTTTGTGCGGACGGTGAGGTTGCTCTCTCCGATCTTGGCGATGGCGGGACGAATCAGGCTGACGATGTCCTTGAGCGCCAGAGGATCATCTTTGCGCAGTTGAGGCCCAGCCACACGTACTATACGCAGTAAAAGTTCCGCGTTCAGTTCCGAGAGGTCGCCCAACATCAGCCGTACGAGGTCGAACATAAGGTTGCTGCTGATGACGCGGAAGATGTACATTTCTGCCAGCACTGTAATCAAATTCGAAGTCTCCTTGGTGGGAATGCGTTGCTCCTCAGCCGCCATTGTGGCCCTTTCCATCTCTTCTTGGAATCGCTCCACACACGTAGTCAGGAAGTGTGCGGCAAAATCGATACCGATGCCTTTGTATAAAGCTGCCATAAAGCCAGCGGACAGAACCAGTAGCGTGTCGGGCTTGCTCGTAGGATCACATATTTGCGCCATCAACAGACCAGTCAAGATGTTGTTCATGTGGCCTCTCGGGTGGTCGCGGTAGGCTCTCTCGATCTCGCCGACGATCGGGAGCAAATTTGCTTCGGTGACTCTGTTGACAGGACCCTGTAATTTGCGGCGAATCTGTGCCTCCAAGTCGGCATCCACTCCCATATTGGCTCGCATCGAGGGCGGAATATACTTTGTCGGTTGAGTGCTGGCGGTGACTGGTGGCAGGTATGGATTTTCTCTGATCCTTTTAGGTGCTACTGCCGCCGCCGCCGCTTCTGTCTCTTCTTCCAGATCCAAGCCCTCAAAGGGTTCCGCGTCGCTGATGACATCCTCATCTTCTATGTCGTCGTCGCTGGACTGGGATCCGGCCCCCTCACCATCGTCTCCCAAGTCGGTGTCGTCGGCTTCGTCATCGTCATCGTCATCGTCATCGTGAAGTAGTTCGCTGTCCCAGCCGCCCAATTCGTCGTCTTGATCGCTCTCTGAATCCTGAGCAGTTGCAGGACGAGTGCCGGCGGCTTCCCTCCTCTTTTGCGCAAGCCAGTCCTTGAACTCGTTGTTTTGTCTGCCGGCACTCTCCGAGTCGCTTCCACCGCTGAGTTCGCCGAGCAGGTCGTCTAAGCCATCATCCTTGAATGACTTTGGCAGCGACTTGCGACCCTTCTTAAGCCCCAACTTCCGTTCAAGCTGCTCGATTTCGGCGTCGTCCTTGGCCAATCGGTCACGAACGGCACGCGATGGCTGCTTCGGCGCAGGCGTTTCTCCATCCTCGTCATCTCCATTGAGATCCCTTTTGCGCTTTTTCGAGTTCACTTTCGATGGCTTGCGCGGTTCTGCTGGCGCCTGGTTGTCGTCGAAAAGGTCGTTGTCGTCAATATCGTCATCGTCGTCATCTTCAACCTGGCGCTTCGGCGGGCGTCCTTCTCTACGGGTTGGATTCTGACGCTGCTTCCTGGACTGTCTCTCAGCCTTTCGGCGGTCTTTTCTGTTCTGATCTTGACTCTTCCATCGGCCACGAGCTTTGGAGGCGCCGGCTTGCTCTGAGGCGCCAATCTGCTGGAGGAGCTTTGGAGGCAGCGAGAGGGGCTTGGGGGGCATTTTGGTCAAAAAGGGATGTGAAGATCGGACAATTAGCCAGACAAAAAAAAAGCGACGGCGCAAGAGAAGGCCTCCTTACGATCGAGGCACCCTGAGACACTTCGTAGTTTGTGTCGACACTATTAGAGTCTTCATTCTGGTTCGCGTGGAAATGAATCAAAGTCGGAAACTTTTTAATGGGGCTCTGAGGTCTGAACGATCCATGCATGGGTGGGGACCAACACCCAATTCTGACCTGCGCTACCTAGGTATGCTTCAAGTAGTTCAAGGTACCTCCTGGAACAATTTTACACAGGCGGATACGCCATAATACCTACGTCGGGCGAAACTAAGTTACAGCGACAGGGCGATCATTCCAGCGGGGCTAACTGTCCAACTTAGGTTGAGGCCTGTCAATAACCTCCCTTCTCCTCACCTTCATGCGCATTCAAGGTCGCATACAATACCAGGGCAGTTCGCCAGATCGGATTTCCCAGACCATGGCCAGTCACTTGAGCCACGATGAGGTGAGTCGTAATCTCAAGGGTGTGGCGTGCCCACGTGTACTGACCATGTTGTTATCCAGTTCTTCGGCAAGTTAGGCGAACTGTTCGAGCAGCGCAAGAGCAAAGGCCGCGGCTCAATCTTTCTCGTCCAGAAGAGACGTACGTCCACATCTCGCTCGTAGTGAAGAGCAGCTACGCTGACCTGCATTTCCTCTCAGTCACCTACGGCCAAGACGTTCCCGAGCCGACCGCCACCGAACCGTTCCCCGATCTACATCCTGCGAGGCCTTTGCCTATTATTGTGCGCGCCACCAATGGCAAGTCAAAAAAGAACAGGGACTCGAAGATCAAGTTGTCAACGGTCGTCGAGGTAGAGACACTGGATACTTTTTATGCGCGCTACGCCGACATCTGCAAGGGCGGTATGGTGGCTTTGAAGCCAAGGGACAGGAGCAAGAAGAAGGCCAAGGCGCGGAAGAAGAAGGGAGGACCTGCTACCGCAACGGCTTCTTGATGTAGAGATGAACGTTTAGTCTGTAGTGACTGCAATCGAGGAAGTCGCAGACTACGCTCGCCGCATCAGAGCAATCTCTCGCTCTCACACAGAGACACAGGAGCATAAGCAGCTTTGAGAACAATAGGTAAGCGAGCTACGGAAGTCTTGTGACTTATCAAATCACAAGTTTTTCCAGCCACCGGCCCAAAGTCTCATACACATCCATGCCAGACAGTCGCAGACGGCAGAACGACCGCAAGAGTCTCTGCCGAGCTACAAAGCATGAGTTTCATGCTTCATGAGTAGTTTACATGTAGACCGAATGTGATCTTGGCCTAGCCGAACTCCTTTTCATCGTGTTACTATGTGACAGTCCATTATGACTACCAACTTGCGCTGCTATCCCGGCCATATACTCGTCATCATCTCACGGGGGCTGACTACTCAGAGTTCGCACCCCGGCCGCCAGACGGTTCGTGGGCTCCAGAGCCAAAATCCGCGACGTCCCCAAACCCTTCTAACGCTTCCCTTACATGGGCGCATGCTTCGCATTCGCCTCGCCTAGGTCTCCTTGGGTTACCGACATACATGCAAAGGCTTTCGGGGCATCTGGCGGTTGGATGGCTGCTTTCACAACTTGCCAGTTTCTTGTGACCCTGCCACCTTGTCCCGCAGCTCGGGCACCTGTAAAGGTGAAGCTCACACATGACTCTTGTTTTAGAGGATGATAGATAGGAAAGGCGATGACCGTGACTCCGTGCAGACGGGACATTAGACTGTTGCTGTAGGCACCGGTTCTCATCTTATATCTACCTAGTCGTAGAGAGCGAGCGGTAGACATAACAACCTCCTAGGCTGCATGTTCGTGCAGCTTACTCACCTGGTAGCCATAGTCACCCAGTTTGGGGTTGTTTTGGCCTTGTCGAGGTTTACAATAAGTCGTCCATGCGACGCGTCTCAAATTGCTAGACAAACTAGAGACGCAAACACGCGGTTCCAGGCCTATTCCAGTCATAATTGTCGATGAGTCTGATATCCCCGGGGGCCGGGGGCGGGGGGACGGGAACTCCTGTAGACATGCCTCCGCTGGCTGCGTGGCGACTTCAAACCCGGACATCACCGGTCAAGCATTCGACTACATTCACGTTGCAATTTTACACCAAGCGGTGGGCAGTGTCACAACTGCCCCTGGACTCCCGGCGAATCTTCCAAGCCGCCCGAAGAATCATCGACAACTGCAAGTGCGGAAATAACGCCGGTGCCGTGCTTCGTCCTACGCAATCACCACCTCACCGTCGTCCACCCCGACGTATCGACCACAACCGCCATCGCATGCGAAGTTCATATGCTATTCGATGTCCATTCTAGGTAGAGCCCCCTGAGTCAATCCTCATCCCGGGTGTCCTTCAAAAGCAACTGAAGTATAGGTTCCGGCCAAGAACCAATTTTTCGGGCAAGGCCACGTCAAGCGCCGACATAGCAGCTAGACGAGGAGTGCCAGTTTGCCGTGACCAGACGAACTGCCGTGGACTCACGGGACTATCCTAGCTAATAATCCTCATTACATGACAGTCGTGTTGAGCGTTGTCGATGAGCGTCGTTCGTGCACGACCAGCCACGACTCAGCCCACCCCCGCCTAGAAGACTCGAGTTGCGTCGAATGTAAGGAAATTTTTGTCGCATCGAAACCGAAAACCAATAATGAAAAGAGAATGCAGACTGACGTTTAGAGTGAGGACAACAACAATTTGTCGGCTCTAATACGGATTCCGTCGTTTGGAGCTCGATCCGGGTATCAGCTGGCGTTGCAGGAGGACGCCCTGCCGTGGTGTCGCCCTACATGATCTGGTCCTGCGTCAAGCCAGCATGCGCGTCGGTCTCCATACTATCGCCACCGCCAGCCGCGTTCAGATATCGGACGAAGCTCAGGCCCAGAGGACGACCGCCGTATTGGTAACCCTGAAATTTGGCAATCGCAGTCTCGGCGGTCTCTGCCGAGTCGAAGCGTACCACACCGGTGCCACGAGAGCGTCCGCTAGGCTCGTACTGAATCTCGGCCTGCTCAACCTTTCCAATAGTGGTGAAGAGCTCCACGAGGTCGTCGTTGCTGGTGGACCAGGGCAGCTGCAAACCATTAGCATCAGGATTTCTAAGGCCGTTGTTGTGACCGGTCAAACTTACGTTGCGCACGTAGATTGTCTCGCTGCGATCAGTTCCAGCTGTGGCGAAATCGGTGAAGGGGTTCGGGGGAACGGAGGATGCATTGCCGGCATCGAAGCCTCCGCCGCCGCCGCCGCCACCACCTCCAGGTCCTCCTCCTCCTTGGAAGCCACCGCGACCGTAGCCGCCGCCGCCGCCGAAGCCACCACGGCCGCCGCCAAAGCCGCCACGACCGTAACCGCCACCGAAGCCACCTCGCATGCCACCGAAGCCGCCCCGGCCGCCGAAGCCCATGGGGCCGCCGGCACCAGCAAACCTGTCTTCGCGAACCTCAAGCATTCGGCCCTGCCATTCGTAGCCGCTGAACTGTTGGATAGCGTTGCGGGCGTCGTCAGGGTTCTCAAACACTACGATTCCGGATCCCTTCGGGCGCCCATCGGGGCCCAAGTGTACGTCGGCGCGAATAACGACTCCGTTGCGAGCTTGCAGAATCATGTCAGTTTACCGTAATGCAGATAGCCAAAGAAGCGATTGTAACATGGGGGAACGAATGTGTAACTCACCAGCTTGCCTAAAGAGATCTTTGAGATCCTGCCATCCTACGGTGTAAGGCAGCTAGATGAACCGTTAGTTCAGGATGGTCTAACCCGCGGCTGTTATTGGCATGGGATGGAACAAACGTTGGCCACGTAAACCTGACGGCTACCACCGGCGTTGAATCCGCCGCCGCCTCCGCCGCCGCCGAAGCCACCAGGGTTCATTCCGCCGCCGGCACCACCGCCGCCGAAGCCGCCGCGATTGGCCGTAGCGCCGATGAAGCGAGGTTCAGCCTCGCGGTCCTAGCAAAGAGCACAGATCAATACCACGCCCAAACAGTTTCCAAGACTGCGCAGCACTCAGCGACAACTTACTTCTCGAACGTAAACAAGACGGCCCATAAGGTTCTGGTTGCTAAGCGTCGCCACAGCGTTCTGGGCTTGCTCCCGTGTCGCATATTCCACAATTCTGTGAGAGTATTAGTGTGATGGATCTCGACGGCCGAATACTGATGATGAGACTTACCCGCATCCCTACATAGACCCGTGGACACGCGTCCCAACCCGTCAATCCAACAATTCCATCAATAACCAGAGGGAGAAGACCACAAAAGAAAGCCAGCCATAGACTACGTGTAGACGCCCACCTTCGACATTCCGTTTGGAAGTAATAGCACGTCGGCGAAGAGAACTTCTCCGGCTGTAAAACCCAGTCAGTGCCCGTGGAAGAGGAATGTTGCGTGGACGAGTCTGACGATGTCGTCATCGTCGTCGCCGCAAGGAGCCAGGGAACTCACCCTGTCGCATAAAGTCCTTGAGATGATGCCATTTGACGTCGTATGAGAGGTTGCCAACATAGACGCGGCGGTCCTGCTGGGACGTTTCCCGAATGTTGCTCATCATCTGCTCTCTGGCAGCTGCGCGCTCCTCGTAAGATCGGTGTTGGGGCGCCCCTCCGTACCCAGTGCTAGATCCTCCAGAAGGAGCTCCGGTTCCAGTCATGGGGGAACGATCTCTTCTTCCACGATACTCGTCTCTGCTACGGGATCGGCTCCGAGGAGAAAAAGAGCGACGTCTTGAGGCGCGATTTGGGCTGCGTGAACGTCCGCGTCGAGGGGATCGAGATCTCTCCCGCTGGTGAGGGTTAGCGCTGAGTGCCGCCATGGACCACGACCGTTGAGAGAAGAAGCGTGTCTTCGTGGAGGTGGTTTGATGGGATGGACAGCAGCAGATATGCGCCGAGGAAGGAAAAGAAAGGCGGGGGGAACAAAGTTAGAGTCGACGACAGAAGATAGTGCGGATGAGAGGGGGGGGAAAAAGGAAGCGAAGCAAGGGAGAGAAATGTGAGATGGTTTAGAGGGAAGTCAAGGAAGGACAGGGTGGCGTGGCGCGCGCTCGCAGTCGACTGGAAGGTGCCCTGCGCTTGGAGCTCCTTTCCAGAAAACCAAAAACGTGACGATTCAAGGTGGAAGGAACCTTGAGGGCACGATCTCAGCAATCACTTTCCTGCTGTGAGGCTTCCTTTCCTGGGCTGGAGGAATCGCGCAACAAACAAGAACGCGACTGCCGAGGAGTGCGGAGGGGAAAGGTGAAGCTGCGGAGCACAGGCGCAGGCGCAAGCGCGCCTCGGACAAGGCGGGAGCAGGAGCAGGAGCGGTCGTTGAACTAGGGTTTTTGGGAGGCAAGGCTGAGGTGAAGTCGGGTGGGAGTGGTATAGGAAGGGTAAGGTATTAGCAGAATACTTACGGGTCGATAAGTGTCGCCGGAGTCAGCTACGAAATGTTAGGTTAGTTAAGAGGCGAAAACCAGGGAGAGTTGAAAGTGTCTGCGAGAAGAAAGCAAAGAACACGAGGAGCAAAGTAGGAACGGCGGAGAGAGGGAGAGGGTACCAGCGGTCGGTCGATATTTGGATAACTGAAAAGGGTGGGCGGGCTGGCGCAGAAGAAGAGAAAGAGTGAGGGAGGGAGAGGGAGTGACGAGGAAACCGAGGGGGTCTACAAGCACGGCACGGGTCTGGATACGGGAGACTGGTAAGGTACGGGATGGGAGAGAGTAAGTGTATGTACGGGCAGGGTGCAAGACGTGGAGTGAGGTGAGGTGCAGAGCGTGTGGTGGAGAAGGCACGGAAGGACATGCAGCTACTCAACCGAAGACACGGCGGTGCGGTGCGGTGCGGTACAGTACAGTACGGTACCTTGGCCTCCTTGCCTGAGGATGGAAGGTCCGGCAGGTAAGTCGGCCTTGTCAAGGGATGAGGAGGGATAAGTAGGTGAGGTAGGCAGGTTGACGGGGAGGGACGAGGTGATGAACCTGAAGGTACGGGGGAGTACAGAGGTACCTTCCTGCTCGGTGGAGGAACACCAGAAGCAGAAGCAGGAGCAGGATGAGGAGGGGTGGTAAGGAAGGAGGGGGAGGGGGAAGCGGAGGGGAAGGGAAAGTAAGTACCTTGCTGCGCTTGCCTTGATGTATAAGCCAAGTGGTGCAGGTGAGGTAAGAAAAACCAAAGGCAGGGTGGAAGAACTGAGGTGGACTACCCAAGTGAAAACCAGAGTGACGGACAACAGCAGAGGGAGTTGAAGAAAGAGAGGGGAGCTGTTGTGTGAAGAAGGCAAGGAAGGCCAGGGAAGAGGGAGTTGAAGCAGAACTGTCGAGCTCATGTATGAGAATACCATGTCCAGACCCAGACACACAAGACAAGCAAGTAGCTCGTCCATGGCAGAAGTTCCCATGAACGAAGCAGGCATGTGTGATATTGATGGGTCAATGGTTGGGTGAAGATGAATGAATGAGATGATTGAGTATGAATGGGTGGATGGGATGGGGTGCATGGGTTGGTGATTCCGAATTGGCTGGGCGCATGGAGACCATGTCCGCTTTGCCATGTGCCCAGATCCATATATGTATATCAGGTAAGGCAGACAGACGCACAGCGAGGCAAGGCCATGGAGGCGAGGACGGGATGAGGAGATTTGCGGCTTGAAGTGAAGATGAGGGGGTAGAGAAGGGAGATAGGATGGGGCCAAGGAACCTGAGGCTAGACAGACATGGTGCCACCCACGCAGCTCGACTCAAGATGAGTTGAGTGAGGCGAGGCTGCGGCACGTTAAGCTCTCGAGCTAGGTGGCAGCGAGCGAGCAATCTACCAATCACTCCATCCGGGCAGGAAAGGCAAGGCAGGGAGGGGCAGGACGACGAGAGCGAAGCAATATGGAGGAGTAAGAGGATGATGTGTGGGAAAAGGACGAGGAGATAGACAAGGACAAGCCGGTCATTGCAATCAACCAAGGCACAAGGCAGGCAGGTAATGAATGTGAGATATGGTAGGTAGGCAAAGTAGGTAGGTGTACAGAAAGGTGAGGGAGGCAACCGACCACCTTCACCTTCAAGAAACGCAGACGCAAGAGGAAAGAAAATAGATCGACTTACCCATGGCTACCTCCTTATTTACGACTCGCGTGCGCAAAGCCGTCGAAGAGGCGGAGGGAGTGACGGAGGAATTGGGAGAAAGGAAGTCGAGACGCCAGGTAGCTCAGCTCGATTGATAGTGGTGCTCGTTTGCTCGCTTGCCTATTTGCTTGCTGCTGTGATGCGTGCGCGGCGCTGCGCTGTGATGCGATGCGATGCGATGCGATGCGATGCGATACAAAGGTGATGTGACGCGCGTGTCGCGTTGCGTTGGTGTCCGGACAGATAAGGCGGAGAGGGAAAAAAGGTGAGGACGGGAGGAGCAGACGTCGGGTAGACTCGAGCGCAGAAAGCAGGCGAAGGCGGAGGCGGCAAAAAAAGGCGTCTGTACGGTAAGTAGTAAGGTCAGGTAGGTACGGTACCCAACCCAGCAAGCAGGCCAGGGTGGCCAGGTACCTTATGTAAGGCAGGGAGGCAAGCTGCCTTGACGTAAGGTAGGTAAGGTAGGTAGGTAGGTACCTAAGGTTAAGGTAGGTACTAATTGAGGAACCTAGGTACGGTGAGTGAGGTGAGAGCTAGAGTAATGATGGGAGTGGAGGACCTAAGGTGAAAGGCCGGCTGGTTCAGCACGAAACGAAGCAACCGTGGATCGGGCGGTCGCCTGCCCGGGACGGAACCGGGATCCAATGAGCAATCGGGAACGGAGAAACTAAACGGAACAGCGGAACGAGGCCCGGGTTAAGGTAAGATCCAATGTAAGGTACTGGGCCTGAGGCAAGGTACCTTACCCCCTGTCCTGCCTACCCTACGGATACCTAGGTACTAACTTCTTACCTCCAAATAGAGAAGCCACCTAGGTAGGTAGGTGCCTTTCCTGAGATTACTACCTTAGGTACACCTCAGCTTCTGTCCACGGCATTGGACTTCCAGGTTTGGTTCTGATATGGGCCAGCTGGAGACTGAAGGACACTGGGGTTCCTTCGAGCTGAGCTGTAGTACCAACTACGCTAGGTAAATCAAGGCACCTTAGCCAACACATCCTACACGAATACACACGAATTGGATGTGACGCTCGCTGGACAAAGTCAATTCAAGATCAGGCTGGAGGCAGGGCAGGTAAGGTGAGCTGCGCTGCCCTGTTGATCCCGGTCTTCTCAGCTGGGCTACCTACCTTACCTTAGTAGGTACCTACGTACCACCTTGCCCGGGCTTACCTTACTTCCATACTGCCTCATCATTCAGCAGCCAGTCAGAGGCTACAAAAGCAAAGCGCGTCAAGGCATCCAAAGCACATCAGATGGCTGCGTCAATAGCGCCGTTTGATTGGCCAATGAGCAGCTCCGACGATGGGATCCAACCTGCGTGGAAAGTACCAAGTAGGTAAGGTCGGGTGCAGGAAATGCCTTCCATTCCGACCCGGAGCTTTCGACCTGTGCTGATCACAGCTACTACCTATAGTAAAAGTCTTGCGTCGGATGACGAGCAGCAAATGAGCGTTCTTCCTAGCTAAGGTACCTTAAGGCACGACACGGCAGCTGCCACCATCACTTCTGATCAATTTGGTCTGCTTTGTATATTGAGAAAACTGACGGATGGATGCAGTAGAGCGTCCTCCATTGCCAAGCAGGATAATGCGATAGATGTGACAACTGATGGATGGCAACAGTGTATGGCTGGACTGCCTACCTACCTTACCTACCTAAAGTATCCCTACCTGGCTGTTCTCGTCCCGAGTCCGTTCCTCCGCCCATCCATCCGTCTCTCCAGTGTCCTTCTCTTCGTTTTCCCATCATCTTCATCCCTGCTATGGGTCCAGAACGCAACCCTGACGGCCGCGGCGGCTACGAGCTGAGGTACGATTTCCAACGGGGCTCGGGAGTGGCATTGATAAACTACCTTGTCCGCCTGAGCCCAACCCAGCTATCTTGACTTAAGGCATGGAACACTCAACATTCAATCATTTGTATCGTATCCGTACAAGTCACTTTCGAGAGAACCTTGAGGTCCCTGGTATGGTGGGGGAGGACGGGGCCGACGTGAACCTTTCTGGCTCAGACGAACCCCGACCCCTACCGAGCTGCCCCGAGTCCAATGTATCCGTACTCTCTCTTTTTCCAGTGCTTTGTCGGAAGGTATACAAAAAGTCTGGCGACGGGCCGTCTGGCCTTCACTCGAGAGTAATCAATGTACTTTATTCAAGGTCACTTGGCTTACTTCCGGCTGATTCTACCTCTGCTTCTACCTCTGCTTCAACGAACTGGACCGAACACGCCAGCGGCGTTGCCGTATGATGTTGCAATGTGTTGCGTCTCGTCTTGTCTCACCCACCAGATGGGACGCCATGATCCATATCTTGTTACCCACGTACGAGTACCTCTATGCTCCTCATAACACTTACAGTATGCAGGTTCGTACGTACATACACAGCATCCTTACAGATGCGTGCTCATGCGTCAACCACTGGAAGAAGTCTCTCACTCCCCACACAAGGTCCGATACGTGCGCGTAAATCCAGCCGTGTATTTCGTACCGAATTTCTGTTACCTTGGCTCCGCAGCTAACGTAGCCCAGCTGCTTGTGTGAACTACCTTGCCTACAGCGAAGAGACCCCAACCGTGCCATTCGACCTCCAATCACCCGGCGAAACCCTCAAGTGCTATCCTTGTCTCAACCCTTCTGTCAAGAACCCGACCCAAAAGCCATCTGGCCAACTTGCCTGTCATCATGCCGCCAAGGCCAGTGCGTCCCGCGATGCAGACGCCCAGCGTTGTTGTGGTTGTAGGTAGGTAGTGTAAGATGCAAGTCGAAGTCTCAATTGGTTGCGGATCGCCTAGAATTCCACCCCAATTGGAAAGGAAGAGACCGTTCTGCAAGACTCAGTCTGCCAGCCTTTGCAAGCCTGTTTAACCTCGGGAAAGACGCAGCGCCCTCCGCCGCTTCAGCAGTCCTCAGCATCTTAGCACCCGAGCCAGGAGGCTTTGCATGGCACACTACCTTTGTGGATTTGGCCCAACCATGGCCTCTTCGACGCCGTGTAACTATGGCGGCGACCAGCTGGAGTTCGCGTACCGCGGGTACCTTCACGCTGGGGTGTCCCGATTTGGGCACAAGCTCCCCCTGCTTCCAGGTACTCAACCCAAGTAACTGAAACCCTCGTCACTGCTCACACCTACATCCCTAAAGCCGCTGGTAATAGAGACAGGCTTGTTAGGTATGTAGGTAGGCAGGTGTTTGGGGTGAGGCGGGATCCTCCGAGGTTGCAGAGGGGACGGAGAGGGGATTTTAAAAAAAAAAAAAAAAAAAGGGCACCACTGTCGTCAGCCCATGTTGCTTGTCGCATTGGGATTGATGCCGCAAACATAAACGCGAATCCGCTGAATCACACATCTTTGCTCCTGCCATGTTTACTCACTGCCGCCCGGCGGCCAAGCTTGCCTTCCGCGGCTCGCGCCAGTGTCCGACAGCTATCCTGGCCACTCCCCGAACGACCCGAACGAACAGAACCTACCACTCCTACGATCACCCATCTCCGACTACATCCTTCAACCCTCAAGAGAAGACGATCTTGTCTGCCGCCTACAAGCATGTCCCCGAGCATGGCTTCACCCAGAAGGCCCTGACTCTCGGCGCCAAGGACGCCGGATACCTCGACATTAGCACCAGCGCGCTGGCAGACGGCCCTTTCAGCCTCATCCGGTACCATGTTGTGACGAAACGAGAAAGCCTAGCGGCCAAGAGCAAAGACATGATCAATCAGACAACAGAAACTACCGTCGGCGAAAAGGTGGAATGCATAACTTGGCAGCGGCTTCTGGAAAATGAAGCTGTTATCGACCGTTGGCAAGAGGTAGAGGCGCGGGGGGGGGGGGGGGGGGGGGGGGGGGGGGGGGGGGGGGGGGGGGGGGGGGGGGGGGGGGGG